GCATATTCATGCAGGTACATCTGCCTTTGGGTCGGTGGGTGGGTGAAGGTGGTCATGGAAGACCTCTTGTGTAGTCATATTTAAAAGTGATAAAAGATGAGTAGCAAGTAAAAAAAAAAAAAAGAAAAAAAGGGGGGAAGGGTAGAGAGAAAAGAAAGAAGACTGAAGGATGAAAGTTCAGATAGGGAAAACAGTAATTGGGAAAGCTGAGTATGGAATTATTTGAGAAATGTTAAGTAAACATATTTCTACTAAACTTAATTACCTATAGAAAGATTTGTTCTCTAGCTGGGACTGCTAGGGGCAAAATCATTATATGGTCATATATCTGATAATTAATGAAGTATTTTATCTATATTGTATTGTGGAACATTTGAGCCTTCAAAATAAGGAAAGAAACTATTTCACAAATTCTCAATTTTAAAAATTTATCAGCAATAGTAAGCAAGTAAAAATAGTTTTCCCACTATAACCTAATTTTAGAAATTGATCCCTTTTCAAAATATGAATGATCCATTGGTGTCACCATCCTCAATTTAATTTTTCCTTAAGTTTTGTCTTAAAAATCGCTTAAAAATAATTCTAAGAATAAAAACATCTCCAAGGACTTTGGTCCCCAGCAATATCATTTAAAAGATATCCTGGAATCTTCCTGCATAGAACACCTAAAAATCATCACATCAAAAAATACAATAAACCTTCTTAAATGAATGGCTCAGCTTGTAAGGATATTCCAAGTCTAAAACAAAATGTGAGTATTAATCCAGAGCAAGTGAGCAATGAAGATGCTGGCTCTATTGCCTTCGACAGCTTAGTGAGTGTTGGCTTAAATAGCCACCTGTTCAGAGGGGAGAGACAAATCAGACTACTACATGTAAAACTGACACCAATGGAGGAAACCTGGATACAAAGGTGAGCTAGGAAGGGAAGCCAAAAAACTCAACTCCACAGAAGAGTCAGTGAGGAAACTTGTCTACTGCCTTGGGGTAGGGGAGTAAGAGGTAAGAACACCCTTTCCTGCAAATTCATATTCTCCAGCTGGTCATCACATAACTTTGAGTGCTGCAAAGTGGGAAGAATCATAAACAGAATTCTAATTTAAAGTAAACCAAGGCTGGGATGCCTGGCTGGCTCATTTGGTAGAGTATGCAACTCTTATTTGCAGAGTCATGAGTTCAGACCCACACTGGGCACATAATAGAGCTTAGGGAAAATTTTAGAAAATAAAGTAAACCAAGGTTGACAGGACCACTAAATACCTGGTTGAAGCAAGAATAATTCTTCTCTGGAGGAACACATCTTTCAACCCAAGTTTCAAAGTAATCCACACAAAATTCCACAGAAATGTAAATCCATAACACAAAAACCCAAAGCAAACAAACAAGGATGAAAACAGAAACAACAACCAACAAGGCCAAAACTGTAGAAACTTAAGGTAGTACAATTAGTAGAATAAGGAATATAAAATGAGCATTTTTAACATGTTTTAATTGAGAAAATGAAAATGAATATGAATAAAGAATGAATGAGCTACTGAAAAAAGGAACAAGGGCAGATGTGAAAAACAAGCATATGCAAATTTTAAAAGCTAAAATATAAAGAGCATTATTAAAAACTCAAGGGGAATTCTGTTTCCAAGAGTAGGGTAGACTAGTAACTCAACCAATCTTCTGATTGAAATATCAAGATGTATATTAAAAAATAAATTTAATCTGTTTATTGTTTTTATTTTTTTGTTTATTTACATAGAGTGTGAGAGGGGAAAGGAAAGAAAGAGAGGAAGAGAAGTCAAGAAGGTTTCATGCTCAGCATGGAGCCTGACATGGGGCTCAACCCCATGACCAGAGGATCATGACCTGAGCCGAAATCAAGAGTAGGATGCTTAACCAACTGAACCACCCAGGCGCCCCAAATATAATCTTTTTAAATGCAATGATGAGCCAAAAAGCAGCAAAAAAATAAATAAATAAATAAATTAAAACCTATATGAAATCTAAAATCAGAGAGTTAAGTTTTAGGGGGAGCAATAAAGCCCTAAGGGGAACCAATTACTTTGGTTTCCGTGGACCTATTGTGTCCAAGCAGGGAGAACAACAGGAAAACTCTAAACAAAGTCAGAACTACATACGGTCAGTGCAATGCTGAATGAAAAATAAACCCAACCCATTAAAAGTTTGTGAAGAAAACTGCCCATAACTAGTTGCAGAGTAGATAACAATAACAACAAAATTCTCCCCAGAGTCATGATAACCAAAAGCTAGCCTTGACACAGTTTTATATTCTGTGTTCATATCATGTGGCTAGCTTAAACCTCAAATCAAGGATTCAATCTGACAGGTTGTTAGTGTCTCTTTGTACTTAGAAGCAGCAAATGCAATTCCTTTTTGAAGGAATCAACCTTTAACAAACCAAATCAGCAAATAAACTTATAAGATGAAAAAGCTCAGAATCAAAATTCTAAATTTCTGAAATCATGAAATACTGCAAGAAACCTTAAGAGAATACATGAGAAAGAGAATATAGAAACAAAATATGGCACGATCAGATCTACAAACACCTCTGGAATATCAGAATGATCAATAAATCAATATAAAATAACTATGTTTAATATACATAAGTAAAACATAAGTAAAAAACTTGAGAAAATAAAATTGAGCAGACTGGCCAATTTCCAGAAGTAGCTGTAATTAAAAGGAAGTATCCACAACATAGCACAAAAAGACAATGAGATGAAAAATATGAACGAGAGGTTAACAGACATATATAAGGTAAAAAGATCTAACAAACATCTTGTCAGAATCCTGGAAAGACAAGAAAAAGATCGGACCAAGGCAATATTTAAAGAGATAATGGCTGAAAAATTTCCAAAATTGACAAAATATATTAATCCACAAATGAAGTAGGCCTAAAATATCCCCTAAAGAATAATGAAAGAAAATCCAGATCTGGACACACCACAGTAAAAGGTAAAATAGTCAAACACTAAAAGAAGACATTTAAAACAGCCAGAGCAAAGATAGTTAACTAATATTAGTTCAACTGCTGGTTGACATCTTAATGGCAACAACGTAAAACAAAGAACAGTGGGAAAGTATCTGAGTATCTAAAATGTGCTGGGTGAAAATAATTGTTAATCTAGAAGTCTATGTCCAGTAGAAAAAGTCTTTCAAGGGGCACCTGGGTGGCTCAGTCGGTTAAGCGTCCGACTTCGGCTCAGGTCATGATCTCACGGTTTGTGGGTTCCAGCCCCGTGTCGGGCTCTGTGCTGACAGCTAGCTCAGAGCCTGGAGCCTGCTTCAGATTCTGTATCTCCCTCTCTCTCTGACCCTCCCCTGCTCATGATGTCTCTCTCTCAGATATAAATAAAAAACATTAAAAATTTTTTAAAAAATAAAATGTTTAATTCACATTTAAATTTTTTAAATTTATTTATTTATCTTGAAAGACAGCACAAGTGGGGTAGAAATAGAGAGAGAGGGAGGGAGAGAGAGTCCCAAGCAGCTCTGTGCTGTCAGCACAGAGCCCTACATGGGACTTGAACTCATGAACCATGAGATCATGACCTAAGCTAAACATAAGAGCCAGATGCTTAACAAACTGAGTCATATTTAAATATAATGTTTTAGACTTGTGTATTTAATTATTAATTATACAGCTTGAAAATATACAAAGAAAACTGTATGGGGCTACAAAGATAAAACTGACAAATCACCAGGGTATAAGACTTTAACACACTTCTATCCATAACTGTGAGGTCAAGCTGAATAAAGACCTTACGGAAGGATATAGAAAGTTCAGACTTTAGTGATCACCGAACTCAACAGAGAAGCATACCTTCCTTCCAAGCACATAAATGAGAAATGACTACTACTGAGCCATAAGTGATAATTTAAACAACTAGTATCATACAGACTATATTCGCTAAAAGAATCACATCAAGAATTTGTAAGACAAAAGAAAACCAGAAAACTGTTTGGAAGATACAAATTGCTAAATATCCCATAGGTCAAAGAAGGTATTAGCATGAAAAATTAGACAATATTTACAAGTGAATAATAACAAAAAAACGCTATAGATCAATATTTGTAATATAGCTAACACAGAACTAAATGGTAAATGAATAGCCTCAAAAATCATTTAAGAAAAATATGAGACTAAAATTAATTAGCTAGGAAACAAAAAAACAAAATCAAGAAAAGTAGAAAGATGAAATGACAAGGAGCAAAAAATAGAAGAAAAACATGTATTAAACAGAGAGGACTAACAGCCAAAAGCTCATTCTTTTTTTTTTTTTTTTATGTTTATTATTATTGAGACAGAGAGAAACACAGCCTGAGTGGGAGAGGGGCAGAGAGAGAGAGGGAGACACAGGATCTGAAACAGGCTCCAGGCTCTGAGCTGTCAGCACAGAGCCCCAAGCGGGGCTCGAACCCACAAACCATGAGACCATGACCTGAGCCGAAATCAGACGCTCAACCGACTGAGCCACCCAGGCGCCCCCAAAAGCACATTCTTGAAAAGACTAATAAAATGACAAATCTCTAGCAAGAATCATAAAAAAAAAAAGACCAAAAAAAATACTAACAGGAATGAAAAGGGGGAACATAAACATAAACGTTTCAGAGATTAAAAAGTTTATAAGAGAACATAATGAACTTTTTGTCAAATTTGTAAACAAATGCAATGAACAAATTCCTAGAAAATAAACTTATACAAAGTTTATTACTCAAAAACTCAATAGTTGTATAAGCTTGCTTAAATTTCTCCAACAAGTATTCCAACACCATGTGCCAAATATTTTTCCCCTCCCATTTGTCAAATAGTCTACCGACATAAACTGTAAATTTTGACAACTAGAACCACTGCCAAAGCTGGACAAAATGTTAAGGCAAGTTGGTCTCTTTCCCTTTTCTTTTTTACTTTTATTTTTTATTCACTTTATTGGGGTTGAATGAAACTTAATCCATTCTTATATAATTGTATACGTTCTGTACTCATGAACACAAAAACAACCGCTCGATGAATTTGCCAGTGGTCCTTGTGCAGGGGCCGTGCTAATCTTCCCTGTATCATTCTAAGTTTTTATGTATGTGCTGCTGAAACAAGCGAGGCAAGTTTGTTTCTTTAATTTAGGTTAACAAAGATACTGCTGTCTAACTGTTTTGCATATCAATACATATGTATACAAGGTGAAGATGTGCTCTGCCTAAACAGCACTGACAGGGGAACCAGGATCTGAGAGTTTTAGTCCCAAATCTACCACTTTCTTGCTGTGAGACTTGAATGATCCTCTTCAGCTACAAAACTCAATGATGTTTACCTGCAAAAGTTAAGTGCTTTGCTATTAAGAACAAAGGATTCATTTCTATGTAACTGGGAATGTGCAGTTAGGAATTTATAGCTATCTTTATGTGATTTTTTTTTTCTTTTTCTCTCCATTTCTTTATTTTACACCCCAAATATCTACCTTAAGCAACTTTAATTTCAGAATGCCTTAGAGGACAAAACTGAGCCTCTGAAAGGAGGATAAAGGTAATGAAAACATTGCTTCTTATATTCATAAACTGCTCCTTATTGATTTTAGAGAATGAAAGATAAAATAATTTTACTTTACTAATCAAATGGTAGGAAAAAAAGTTTCAAACCAAAAAGTGAGTAACTAAGAAAACTGTTCTAGTAACAGAGGAGCAGCATGGTTGGTTATTAAACAAAAATCATCATAAACTAAAAAATATAAATAATAAAAAATGTTAAAGGATTAGATATAGCAAACTTTAAAATTAAATTTAAATTTAAAATTAAACATGAACTTAAAAAACATTTTTAATAAGGGGCCCCTGGGTGGCTCAGTTGGTGAAGTGTCCAACTCTTGGTTGTGGCTCAGGTCACGATTTTGAGGTTTGCGAGTTTGAGCCCTGCATTGGGCTCTGCACTGACAGTGTGGAGCCTGCTTGGGATTCTCTCTCTCCCTCTCTCTGCCCCTCCCCTGCTCGTGCTCTCTCTCTCTCTCTCTGTCTCAAAATAAATAAACTTTAAAAAAAAACAAACATTTCTATTAAGAATTTTAAATAGCTGAAACCCAGTACATTCAACATTAAAAACCAAAGTCTATATTACAAATTAAAATTACTGAAAGGAACTTTACCTGACGAAATATCTCTGTGACAAAGTTTACATTACTTCTTTTAGAAGAAAAAACTCTGCGAACTATTTCAATGTCTGTGAGATGTTCTTCATCAATACTGCAGAGACTGGATGAGCTAGGTTCTCGCTCCGTTAGAGTGCTTGTATTTGAATGGGACTGTTCTGGTTCTGTCGTTCTATCTGCTTTATCAGCATTATCGCTTTTGTTTTCTTCTCTGGATACCAAACTAGCAGCTGCTCTCTAAAATAAAAACAAAAGAGGAACAATGCCATAATCATTTAATTTGGTATTTTTTTTCTAAGTTTATTTATTTTGAGACAGAGAGATAGAAAGCAAGAGCAGGGGAAGGGGAGAGGGGGGGAGAGAGAGAGAGAGAGAGAGAGAGAGAGAGAGAGAGAGAGAGAGATAATCCCAAGAAAGCTGCATGCTATTAGCAAGGAGCCCGACAGGGGGCTCAGTCTCATGAACTGTGAGATCATGACCTAAGGTGAAATCTAGAGTTGGATACTTAACCTACTGAGCCACCCAGGGGCCCTAGTATTTTGCCTTCCAATAGCAAATACTGGTAGAACTCAAAGCATTCCACAAATAACTTATACCATTTTTTAAAATAAGCATAGATCATAGATTTATTTCTTTTTTTTTGAAAGAGAGAGTGAGTGAGCAGGAGAGATGGGTGGCGAGGAGATACAGAGAGGGAGAGACAGAGAGAGAGACAGAGAGAGAATACCTTAAGGAGGCTCCAATTTCAGCATGGAGCCCGATGCAGAGCTTGATCCCACAACCCTGGGATCATGACCTGAGCCAAAATCAAGTATTGGACATACACTCAACGAACTGAACCACCCAAGCACCCCGGACATAGATTTCATTTAGAATCCATTCCAAATAATTAAGTGGCAATGCAAATAACTCAACATGTAAGTAATATAGTGACACTTGCTAATCATATATCCACCTATAATTTGTTTTTAGAATGTTTGCAGTACAAACAAGTTACAAAAAAACCAAAGGAATGGCAAAAAAAATTTATGACAGAAGTATAAACGAAGTCTAAAGAAAATATAAAAACACTCAAGAATGGGGTGCCTGGCTGGCTATTGGTAGAGCATGTGACTCTTGATCTTGGGGTTATAAGTTTGAGCCCCATGTTGGGTGCAGAGATTACTTCAAAGTAAAATCGGAAAGGAAGGAAGGAAAGCAGGGAGGGAGGAAGGAAGGAAGGCTGACTGGCTGGCAGGCAGGCAGACATGCAGGAAGAAAGGAAACAAACTCAGGAGAACATTCTATATTCTACTAACTTAAAAGACTTTTCACCATGACTAAAGATGAGGCCTAAGACTATCAATAAAGTAATAATCTTAAGGCTGGTGATAAAGAAATTACTACCATGTTATGATAGTCATAGCACTGTATCAGGGTATGGCAAATTAGTTTCTATTAAATTACTCAATTTTTGGTCTTAGTTTTGTCATCTATAAAACAAGACAGTTTAAGTAAACGATCTCAAATATACCTTCCCAATCAAAACCATGATTTTAGTGCATTAAGTTCTGAGATCATGGAAAATCGTTCTGCTTAAGAGTTCCTATATTTAATAATTCTTTGTAGAGACCTTGGAACAAAGTTTTAGGGACAATATAACCATAGTAGGCTGCAGATAAATAAAAGGCTAAGGGGGAACATAATTGAAATATTCGGGGTGCCTGGGCGGCTCAGTCGGTTAAGCGTCCGACTTTGGCTCAGGTCATGATGTCGCGGTTCGTGGGTTAGAGCCCCGCGTCAGGCTCTGTGCTGACAGCTATCTCAGAGCCTGGAGCCTGTTTCAGATTCTGTGTCTCCCTCTCTCTCTGACCCTCCCCTGCTCACGCTGCCTCTCTCTCTCTCTCTCAGAAATAAAACATTAAAAATTTTTTTTAAAATACTTTTGAGTGCTAATCAATTAAATACAAACTTTATACCTCCACTTAATTTTGTAAAAGATTTAAGAAGTTGCACAAAAAACACACATAGTATAAGACTTTTTAAACTAAATGAAGAAAATCTGAGAAAAGGAAAATAAAAATTATTAAAAAAGTAAATACTGTAATATAGATAAGTTCAGGAAAAGCATACATTGAGGAAAAAGGAGAAAGTGATAAAGAAGTATGAAAAAGATGGAAACTACTTAATTAAAAAATACCATAAGTTTATATATTAGTTCCTCCATTGTATAGCTGTATAATTTTATATCATATTCTAGACTCAGTGCCCTTGTTGAAAAAAGGGAAATGAGATGCAGGCAAGACTTTTTTTTTTTTAAGATTTTATTTTTTAGGGGGCTCCTAAGTTGCTCAGTCAATTAAGCATCTGACTTCAGCGCAGGTCATGATCTCACAGTTCATGGGTTCAAGCCTCACACTGGGCTCTGTACTGACAGCTCAGAGCCTAGAGCCTGCTTCGGATTCTGTGTATCCCTCTCTATCTGCCTTCCCCCAGCTCATGCTATCTCTCAAAAATAAATGTTAAAATATTTAAAAAAAAGATTTTTTTTTATGTTTATTTATTCTTGAGAGAGAAAGAATGTGCAAGTGGAGAGGCACAGAGAGAAATGGGGACAGAAGATCCAAAGTGGGCTTTGCACTGACAGCAGATAGCTTGACGTGGGTTTGAACTCACAAACCGTGAGATCATGCCCTGAGCCAAAGTTGGGCACTTAACTGACTGAGCCACCCAGGCGCCCAAGACTTTGTATTTAAATAATCTCTACACCCAACATGGGGCTTGAACTCACAATCCCAAAATCAAGAGTCACATGCTTCACTGACTGAACAAGCCAGGTGCCCTTGGAGACAAGACTTTAAGTTAACATTTTATTAATGCTTGGAAATCTACAAAGAACTATGATGGTTCTATAACAATTTGATTAAAGATTGCTTCCAACTGCAAGAATCTGTACGTACAATTCAGAATATTTTTAGTACTGCATAATTAACATAAAATACAGAAACAAAAGCTGATACTCATATAGGACTAGAATTATCCTGTATATCTTCCAAGTTTTATTTTTATTAAAACAATCAACTCTATAATAATTGTTAAAATTTGGATTTATAAAATACATTTATACAAAGAAAATACTATCATTTGTTTTATTTTTTATTTTTTTTAAATGTTTTCTTTATTTCTAGGAGAGAGAGAGAGAGACAGCGTGAGCAGGGGAGGGTCAGAGAGAGAGGGAGTCACAGACTGAAACAGGCTCCAGGCTCTGAGCTGGCAGTCAGCACAGAGCCCGACGCGGGGCTCGAACCCACGAACCGCGAGATCACAACCTAAGCAAAAGTCGGACGCTTAACCGACTAAGCCACCCAGGTGCCCCACTATCAATTGTTTTAAATGTGTTCTACATCTAAGGCAACTGAAATCCACAGACATATCTCTTGAGCCATTTTTAACTTTAACAAGTTTGCCTTATGTGGTGTATTACCTGAATATTCTTTGGCAAGACTTCACCTTCCATCCCAGGAATATGAGGTCCTGTATGTGGCTTTGGCTCAAGCCAGAAAGAAACCAGCCAACGAATGACAATAACACGAGCCTTAATGAAAGGCTCCTTTGTACAATAGATGGCTTCATTGGTTTCAGCATCTTTCTTTATCATAACATAATGTGGCTTTGGTCTCACCTGTGGGATATCTATTAAAATAAAAGGAAAACAAAAACCAAATTAAGAATTATGCTTAGATAAATCTACATTTTTAAACATTTGAGAAAACACTTGTCACGATACCCTTGTTTTAGAAGTAGATTTGGTACAAAAATGACATTTTAAAATAATTTGCTATACATCAGCATGGAGTCTGGAAGAGTGAACCATATATGGCTGATATATGGAAACATGTTTTTTGCAAGGTATCATTAAAAGGCTCAATGAATCTTGTCTAAGTACAAAGAACCTCTGAGAGCCATTTGAAATTAATG